TGCATATTCCGGGGTGTGATCAGCCGGCTGTAATATTTCAACACGCTGATGACACCACTCTAACAGTAACTGATACTAATTCTATTAAGTCTGCTTTATCGACCGTATCTGTTTATTGCTCTGCATCAGGTGCCAAGATAAATGCCGAAAAGTCTGGAATTCTTTTGGCCGGAAGTGCTATTTTAAAAATTGATGATAACATTCCTGTAAAAGTTGTAGACGGAGCTTCCAGATTTTTGGGAATTTATCTTGGCACTGATGCTAGAGAATGTGAACGTTTAAATTGGGATGCAAAGGTTTGCAAAATTCAGAAAGTTTTAAATATGTGGCGCCAAAGGAAACTTAATCTCAGAGGTAAGGTTTTAATTGTAAATATTGTTTGTCTTAGTGTTTTATGGTACCCACTGAGAGTGTTAGATATGCCTGTTTGGGCTTTAGAAAAAATCAAAAAGTCCATCAAATCTTTTATATGGGATGGAAATCCACCATTAATTAGTTTTAAAACATTAATAGGTGATCAATCAGATGGTGGTTTAAACTTAACTGATATCAAATCGAAAGAAACTGCTTTCAGAATTGTTTGGTTGTCCAAATATTTACTTTGATCAACAGATGCGGTATGGAAATATTTAATGACGTATTTTTTAAGCCAATATAGAAGTTTTTTATGTTCTTTTGAGCTACTTTTCATCAAATACTCTGATTTTTATCTGAAGAAGTTACCCCCATTTTATCAAAGTATGCTTAAGGCTTGGAATATTTTTTGTAAGGGAACGAGATCATTAACACACTCTTATTCTAATGTTTTAAATCAGCCAATTTTTGATAACCCGAATATAGTAGATAATGATCGTTCATTATTTTTCCAAAACTTTGTTGACGCGGGCATTGTTAAAATTTCGGATATATGCGTTAAAAATGTTTTTTTACCATCTGATGATATTTTTATGTATATTAGTGATCACGTTCCCAATTCCTCTCAGAAAAGAGTTTTGACCCAATACACGACTATTATTAAATCAATTCCTGTCGAATGTAGTTTTGAAATTTCAAAATGAATAATCTGTGATATATGAATATTTCTATTTTAAGCTCTTGTATTTTAAACTTTTAGATTTGTAATTTATATGCAACCTGATTTTATAATCCTGTTATAATTGTTTTACATGAATAAAAAAAAAAAAAAAAAGCACTTGGGTATTACAATATGTCAGATATATTCAGGCCACTTCCCTTAGATATCGTCGATGATATAGATCAATTTGCAATCAGTATACAAAATATAGTGATATGTATTTACGAAAAATACCGCTACGAGCAGGATTTGAACCTGCGCGGGAATATCCCATTGGATTTCGAGTCCAACGCCTTAACCACTCGGCCATCGCAGCTGGGACTTTTTCGGTCCAATAAAGCAAGGGCCTCATACTTTTAATATGCGATATATAAAGCGATGAGAAAAACTAGAGCATGTGCAGAAGTGTCTTGTTGAAATTCAACTACAAGTTCAGCACTTGGATATTCCAATATGTCAGATTTATTCAGGCCACTTCCCTTAGATATCGTCGATGATATAGATCAATTTGCAATCAGTATATAAAATATAGTGATATGTATTTACGAAAAATACCGCTGCGAGAAGGATTTGAACCTACGCGGGAATATCCCATTGGATTTCGAGTCCAACGCATTAACCACATTTTCGGTCAAATAAAGCAAGGGCCTCAAACATTTCATATGCGATATATAAAGCGTAGGTTTACAGTAACGGTATTTTATTTCATCAGTAAAACTAAAACATAACAGTAACAAAATATTCGAGTTCAACACCCTCTGTGAAGCTCACAGAATTCCATACTGAAACTTTGTATGGTTAGATCAAATTCTTCTGTAATTAAGTTGTTCCCATCATCATTTGTTCGCCGACTGTCTTCTCCTGATAGATCCGAAATGATACCATTTACACAATGTTGTATTTCATTCCACCTCTTATCACGAGGGATG